CCAGCCAGCTACGCTTGTGGACTTCAACTCCCAGAATTCTCCAGCCAATTCTGAGAGTTGAAGTCCACAAGTCTTAAAGTTGCCAAGTTTAGGGACCCGAGTTATATACCATATTGAACTTCGCATCCTTGGGAATGGAATTAGTGAACAGCTTTGGTTTCTTGTGCTGCTTAAATTCCAAATATTCTCAAGTCGGTTAGAAACGGGAGTTTAGATACGCGGAAGGCTCCGATCTACCGGTTTAACCCTTCGGCCAACAGCTACCCCTAGTGGCTCTGTTGCGGGAAGCAACTTATCTTGCGTATACAAACCTCGCCGCCGGTTTCGCCGCGGTCAACAGGTTTAACCGGCGCGGTAACTCCGAGACGAGGTCACCAACTAAGCGTTAACTCCTTTGGTTCCGGATAACGAGCGGCTATCCTTCCACGACCACGTGGACGACGTACCAGAACCCGAAGGCCAAAAGGAAAGGCCTCCGTTTCCCAAAGCGGAGAAAGACCGAGCCAGGTAGCTTTTTGTTTTTGGTTTTTGAACCGACTAGCCATCGCTTCTCGCGCCTCTCCGCTGGCAAAGGGGGACGGGCGGGCAGGGGAGGCAACCCTTGCCGGGAAGGTGGAGACCGAATCGGCACTTCCGAGACTTAGGAACCAAGTTTGACGCGCTGCTCCCTGTGAGAGTTTTGCTTTCTGAGGCGTTTGCGTGCACGGGAGGCGCGGGGCAGGAGATACTCTTGGAATAATTTCACTTCGGCCTCGCTTTCCATCCACGTTTGAGGGGTTGGCGAGCGCGGGAAAAGAGAAGGGGTGGCAAGAAAGGGGTGCCCGAGGGTGCTTGGGAAGGGGAGTCCGGTATTGGTAGGCGCGGGAGCCAGTCCTCGTCCCGAGCGTTTCATTGATTACCTTCGCTCGCTCCCTACGTTTACACCCAAGTGAGCAATGTTGGAGGAGGAGGAGAAGGGAGCCTGTTGCGTCGATTATTCCCGGCACGCCCGACCGCCCGGGAAAAGACCCGGACATGCCCTAAAGCTGCCTTGGCCTGAGAGCGGCCGTTCCCTGCGCCGTGGCACGTTCCCCCACCCCCCACCCCCCGTCCTTGCAAAGCCGGGTTGGGGCTGGCTCGCTTGCGCGTTCCCTCGGTCCACTCCCACCCACCCACCCCGGGCCTCCTTCCCTTTCTCTTGGCCAGTATATTTTTAGGTCATTGGAGTGGAGGGGTAGGTAATCCCCGGGCTCAGGTTCCAAAGGAGGCGGGTTCCGACCGGAGGTGGAGTCACTTTTTCATTTAAATCCCCGACTATAAAATGGGTTTAAGGAGCAGCGGGATCTCATCAGCTGAGGCGCCCAGAGGAGCTGTGGGAGTGAGCGGCGGCGGGGGAGGCGAGCGGGAGGCTCGGGACCACAGCGTGGGTGCCCAGCAGAGCTGCCACTCCTGCCGCGGCGATGCTACACTCCGTGGGCGCCCAAACCTTGCAAGCGCTCAGCCAGGTGGCCGCCTGCGTGCTCCTCGTGCCCCGCTTCCTGCTGACCGCTGTGATGCTCTGGCTCCTGGATTTTCTGTGCATCCGGAAGAAACTCTTGCTGCCCGCGGCGGCGGCACCTGGTGAGGAGCAAGAGTTGGCGGCCGAGGACGCCGACTCGAGCGACGGGACCTGCCCGCCGGACGACCCTCCGCTCTGCGTGTCCGACTCGAACCGCATGTTCACGCTGGAGTCGCTCAAAGCCGTGTGGCACGGGCAGAAACTGGACTTTTTCAAGGCGGCGCACGTCGGCGCGACGGCGCCCAACCCGGAGGTCGTCCAGCTGGACGGGCGCACGCGGCTGCGCATCCTGGACTACGCCCGGGGCAAGAGGCCGCTGATCCTCAACTTCGGCAGCTGCACCTGACCGCCCTTCATGGCGCGCCTGCGCGCCTTCGAGCGCCTGGCCACGCGCTTCGTGGACATCGCCGACTTCTTGCTGGTCTACATCGAGGAGGCTCACCCTTCCGACGGCTGGGTCAGCTCGGACGCCGCCTACGCCATCCCCAAGCACCAGTGCTTACAGGACCGGCTGCGCGCAGCTCAGCTGATGAAGGAAGGCGCGCCGGGCTGCCCGCTGGCCGTGGACACCATGGACAACGCCTCGAGTGCCGCCTACGGGGCGTACTTCGAGCGCATCTACATTATCCAGGAGCGGAAGGTGATGTACCAGGGCGGCCGGGGCCCCGAGGGCTACAAGATCTCCGAACTCAGGCGCTGGCTCGACCAGTACAAGAGCAGCCTCCGGGCCGGGCCCAGCACCGTCATCGTCCAGGTGTAAGGAAGACTCTCCTCCGGCGGAGGGAAAAGTGGACGGGAAGGAAAGAGGCAGCTCGAACGGCTTGCCTCTACTTTCCCGCCCCTTTCCCTAACTCCCGAGAGGCGCTGTGTGAGTTTTCATGCGAGACGTTATTCAAATCATGTTGATTTGCCGAGCATTTGTTGCTGACATCCATTTCCACGTGCAGTTTTGTTTCCCTTTATTTCCTGATTGCGTGAGTGAACGAACCGATCTCTCTCTCTCTCTCTCTTGCGCTGGGGAGAGGGGGGGGGGGAAACGCGCTTCTTTGGAGGGCCTGTTGCTGAGTGTGCGTGCACGTGCGGGCTTCGGGTGTACGTGTGCGCGGGTGTTTCCGATGGGAACGGGCTTCTGCCGTGCACGTGTGTCTGTCGGAGAGAAGTTTCGCGTGCCCAAGCGGTGCGTGTTCTCTCTTTATTTCTACTCTCCGCTGTCCTAGCAAAAACCTTGGCTGGGAGTTCTAGCGTTTCGTTATGATGACCGGTTTCGAAATGGTTTTGGAGCGCCAGGAAACCGAGTCTGAAATTGGGAGATGCTAGAATTGCCAGTTTTTTTGTTTTTGAGGACAGCAAAACAAAACAAAAAAGGCCAAAAATATAATTTAAAAAAACACCCCACAAAAGTCTATTTATGTGATTTCTGAGCTGGTGGTATGTTGAGCTTCTTTTCTCTTTTTTTGTAAAATACCTGTTTTTTATGAGCTTTTTATAACATTATTAATAAAGATGATTGAATAAAGTATGCCTCATTTGGATATTTCTAACCGAAAAGGTGGGGAGGGGGAAACGAAGGCTCCAGAGGTGCTGTAACTTTCTCAGCTGGGTTTAATGAGGGTCCCAAAAGGTTGGGAGAAATAGCAGGGGAGGGATCTACCTTGACAAAACATTGTTTGACAAAACTACTGTATATTTCGTGTGAACTGGTGGCCACTTGCAAAGGAACGCTTTGAGGAACATTTCTAGCTCAGACCTTCGATTTGGGAAAGTTGCTCCCAAACAGTGTGATCAGGAGCCACTTGTAAGCAAAGGAGAAGATATCTTGATGGATGTGAAGGGTGTTCAATGGTTGCCTTTTGGGAGGGGGGGACACAACTGGTAGATCTGGCTTGAACAGCCTCCTCCAGTTTGCCTTTTGATAAAGTCCAGGGTTTTGACTTAACAGCTCTACGGAAGATTAATTGCCAGCCCTCCAATTGGGAAATATGCAGGTTTATCCACCTCCAAAGATAGAATACAAAGATATGGTGGGAGAGACAACTTTATTTTGTGACATGAACGGGTTTGCCCGTTGTGCTATACCATTGCTTATTTTATCCATAGTTTCTTAACTCAAGTAAGCACTTGCTGGATTTAGTCAGCATCCCGAGTCATATAAACAATGGGTCACAAATCACAGTCAGTTTACACTTAAACCAAACAATGGTTTATTTTATGAGACTTAACCACTGTTTTATGAAGTCTGCAGGGGCTTAAAAATGAAATAGGGTCCCAAAAACATTCTCCCTCCCCATTCAAGGAAAATTTATGCAGCTACCGTGGAACCCTGCAATCGCTGTGCATTTGAAGGCCACTTATCATGCAACATACAGGTTGAGGTGCCAAGTCTAGAAATTACACGCCTCTCTTCTATAAAAATTGTTTATTTTTAAGGCATTTGGGGGGGACAGAGATTACTAGGGTTTGGTCCTATCATCCTATACCGAATATGTAGATGTGTAAAGAAAGAGCCAAAACTATCCCCATACGCAACAATGTTGGGTATATTTGTTAAGGGAAAGGACTGTGGTCTATAAATCATTTGAACTTGCTGGGTGGGCTGAGCAAGAGGAATAGTTGGATTCCCAGACAATACCTCTAAATATCTGTGGGCTATTGTTACCCCCCCCCCCCAACCAGAGAACTACACACATCCAGTAATCCTTGAGGCTTTGGTTACATCACACCTTATCAGCATATTGTCCTTTGTGGTTACTGATGAACAGTTACCTGCTCCACAGATTTCTGGTCCTAACATGAGTAATCTTTCGGGGAGGGAATGAATAAAAGTGTTGTGAAAAGGCAGTTGGTTTAAGTTAAGACTTATGGAAGAAAACTGATGCCAAGAGATAGGAAAGGATGTTTCCAATCTCATTTAGGAGCAGTTGCGCTGCTTGTAAGATTTCTCTGTTACAACCCTTTGCCTGCACAGCTATGGTTTGGATAGGTTTCTGGTCTTATGCCACACAACTTCAAATGCAGTTTCAAGTAAAGACAGTATGTTGTATTGTAGCAGGGAATCGCTCAGCATATGTCTTAGCTCACATTGCACATAGAGGGATGGTCAGCAGATACTAAAGTATTTTAGAAGAGGGAAAGAACAAAAAATTAAAATATTCTTACCTGTTATCCCCACAAAGGATTGCCTGCTGTGATATACACAAAACCTTTAAAAATGCCTAGCAGCTTTCCACTTTTCTAGATCTCTTATGTCAATTCTGATCATTATTAGTTTTATTAATGTGGGAAATTTGCTTGCTTTCTTATAATTTTCCATATCCCGTGTGAAAAAAAACTGCTTTACTCCAAGCAACATGACCTTAATAAATCTGGGCAGCCAACTGCTTGCAGCTGGGCTAAGAGCTATTATCAGTACTTGTTTCACTATTCTCTTCAGAGTAGTTTGTTTACTTGAATTGAGCAAAGAGGTATTACTCAAGCCCAAGTGCTAATTTATGTATTATTTGTAATTATTGTATAGTTAGACCTTATAGAATAAAGAATACCAGTCAACTACAGACCACCAACAGAACTGCAATGTTTGAACATGTAAGCTATAATCCAAAACTCACATTTCTAAACATAGTGGTAGGTTACATGGCTTTTGAGTCACCCTGAATTCTCATACGACTGCTGGCTAACCATTTCAGAAATCGGGTTATAGCCTGAAAAGATTGAGGTAGAATCTTCCTGGAATCGAGCTCAGCTCCTGAGAATTACATAAGCACTTTGCTTTCCTTTTCTGGGCAACAGTGTGGAAGTGGTTTACTCAGCAGAGTCCAGGAGAGCAAGGGATCAAAAAGGGACAAATGTAGCATTGCATGTACAAAAGGTTTGGGGCTGTGGCTGTGATGCCACTTCCAACATTTTGCCTCTTTGTAACATGCTGGTCACTTGTAGAAACTGCTTTCTTGGGGGACTGTTCACGCTTTTGATTAAATTACTCAAAATTAAGATAAAGTGGGGTTTTCTTGGGGATTACAAGACATGAATTCAATGTCCAATCATAACATGAAAATTTAAATACAAGACTTTCTGGTAAGCGGCTTTGAGGTAATAAAGAAAAGAAGCAGTGGGCTTGCCTTAGACTTCGTATATAGGTAGTTCTCGACTTATGACCCTAATGGAGCCTGCCCATCACCGTCATAGTTGTGATGATCATAAAACAGGTCACCCACATGACCAGCCCACTTTTACAACCCTTTATTGCAGCAGTCATTAAGCAAATCAGTGATTGGCTATGGGCTGGTTTTGCCCAAAACTGGAAGTCAATGTCAATTTTCAGCAAAAGCATTGTGAGATGTGATCACACAATTGTAGGACACCACAAACAGCTGTAAATGAGGGTCAGTTGCCAAACACTTGATGTGGTCACATGGAGCCCCAGCCTTCAGAACTGGGTCATAAGTACCTCCAGGGAGGTCTATTATAACTTTGGACAGTTGCTAAGCCACCAGTCATAAGACAAGGACTGCCTGTACTAATTTCTGCTGGTCTCCTATGCAGGTACAAACCAAATCTCACCCTGCTTAGTGTTTTAAAGGTTAAGTAAAGTTGGTGAGGTAATGCCACACGATGTCAAGCTGCTGTACCAGGGCTTGGCAGTGAATCACAGATCTCATGACTTCATAGGGCTTCACATGACTCCTACGTGAAGAATTGGCAGAAATCTCATAGGCATGGCACAGCTACAGAAGACTGTTTACTGCGGATATATGAATGAAGCCAAAATGAAACCATTGCTTGTGCTTTCCCTGAATAGTAATGGGTAGTCTTCTTGCATTTTACAATGTCATAAAACCATCATTTTTTTCCCTGTCCTTTCCATACATTAATAGATTCTGCTTGGCTCTTGATAAGGATTGTGAATATCTGCACAGTACTTGCCTAACTCACATATAGTAGCTACATGGACACATCCATCTTGTTTGCTTTGCAACAGTTTGGAAGTAGTTAGCCATTACCTTCTTCTAAATACACTTTTTAAAAAACTTTGCAGTTCAACTGAAAAAGGTTAGTGTCACTTTAAAACGCCACCCTTGTAAATCTATGCTATGCTTGTTCTGCCCCTTCTCATGCCATCAGAAAACAGCACAGACTGGTTTGTGTTCTTCCAGCCTCATGTTCTGGCTCATAAATCCTACATGGTGGCCACCAAGTGTGACCAATCTTTTTTAACCATTGTATAGTTTATTAAAACACAACTTTTATCAAAAAAAAAGTACATTTAAAAAGTAACCCTAGTCAATTTCCCCATAAAATTAAAACAGGTATATAAGTAGAATGTTTAATTGGTCGTTTAGAATTTAATCAGAAAGTCAGTGGTAGTTACAAAATAATTTAATTATTAAATATATACATAGTTCTAACTTCAGTCCTTGAATCACAGTAGGCCAAAATCATGATTTTGTCTTTCCCTTGATATATTCAAGGATCCTTATATGGTCCCATTACTTCTGCCAACCTAACAGTTAGAAAGCATGTAAACATGCAAGTAGAAAAATAGGGACCACTTTGGTGGGAAGTGGGCCTTCGGCATTTAGTTATGCCGGCCACATCACCACGGAGACATCTTCGGACAACACTGGCTCTTTGGCTTTGTAATGGAGATGAGCACCGCCCCCTAGAGCCGGAAACAACTAGCATGTATGTGCGAGGGGAACCTTTATCTTTACCTTTAAGGTAGACATTCTGGATTTTAGCTTTATTCCATCCTATGAAATTTGGATCCAGGATCTTCGTTATGATTCTACTCAACTGATATCATGCCCACCTTTTCTTCTGATGCATTCACTCTAAAGCAGAAAGAAGTATGCCACTTGGCTAGTGAATAGCACACCTGACTAAGCTGAAACAAAATCTACACTTGAAAGCATCATTCAAGCAAATCATCTGTTGAGTTCATCACTGAGCTCAAAAGCCAGGGGTGCCCCTAAATGTATATATCTGTGACCTAAACTAATACCACTTTTTTTCCCGGTTGGGTTGGGTTGGGGTTTTTCCCCCTTTTTTTTTGACCAAAATAAATGAAGTTGCTTGCACATGCTTTAATTTTCTTTATTATAATCATACCTAAATTTCTTCCATAGGGTCCAAAGCAACACAAGTTCTCCTTCCCTATGAAGAAGCTTCCCAATGATTTTGTCAGAAAAATTAGACTTACAGCGTGGTAAGAAAAAAAGGATCCACGTGCCTTATGATATTTCCAAATGTTCCATTTCCAGCCTGTTCCAGAAAATAATTTTAAGAAATTTAATATAGTTTTTCTTAATTAATTAAGGAACACACATAGTGGACAGTGCTTTAATCCCCAGTGGTTTTGTTTTCCTTTCACTAAGGATGTGACTAGTCCAGACACATGTTACCTCCTAAGTAAGTTATGAAGGAGAACATGTATTGAATCTGGGATCTTCCAAATGTATTGGGTCTGTGAACGTCAGCCAGGCTGATTCTGAGAATTCTGGAGGTTGAAGATCAACAGATCTGGTATATCCAAAGAGCAATAAATCCAAGAAGGCTGCTGTAGCCATAAACCACAACCCACTCAATTACATTCCTTCTGCTCTTGTGGATGATAAATTTTACTTGAAATCAGGAGGCTGCATTGAATGAAGAAGAATTGTCTTGGGCAATTACTAGTGCCCAGGGCCACATGCATGCTATGGGTTGGACCCACTTGCTTTAAATCCAGGGATCCCTCTCTTGGTTGTTGTAATACCACACCAACCATAATGGCTTAGTAGGGGATCTGAATAACAAAATTGTGCTGCAGAACGTCAGGAGCTGTCTTGTAAAGTAGCTGCTTCCTGCAATTTCTAGTTACATTTCCGATCCTGAAAGAATTGTACTCGTATATTTAGCAAATACATGAATACTTGATATTAAATAAATAGATACAATGTGTCTTATGACCCCTGTTTCTAATCCAGCCTGTATCTATTGTTTTAAAACATTCATGAACTATTAATTACATGAAAGATACTGTATCTGTTTTAGCCCTCAAAGTACCATTATTTATTTGGATTTATTACAGCTACTCAGTTCCATCATGTTGAAGGATTGATGGAATAAACATTTCATCCAAAAGGCTTGCAACATAGTCATGTTTTGTTGCAATGAGTTTATATTTTAGCAATGGCAAATAAAATAGCATTTTACAACCTGGTGTTTGCAAATGTTTGGTTTACTACTGATAAGGATCCCAATCATCAGAGCAATAAATGATGGCTGTATATGAGCAACAGTCTTCCATTATGTCTTCCATTATGTGGTATTGGAACATTTTAGTTTAGGCCTCACTTAAGACTAGCAAAGATAATAAGTCTGGACTTCTTCATTTTGAGCATAGAATGTACTCTTTGTAGAATATACTGTAGAAGTCTAGAGGTTAACATCCCCAAAGCACATGTGATTATCCTGTCTTGATCAGGCCACATTGTTATTTTAGTTTGGAAATATATTTAAAAGCGAAATAGTGTCAGTTTGTCATCAGTTGTGATGTGCTGTGGTACTCCTGGCACATTTGCTGAATCATGATTAATGTTAATTCATGTGTAGAGTGTCGTGCCTGAGCAATAATTTCTAATAATGCACTGGGCTGTAAGCTATTCACCATGATACCCAGCCATAATACCATACAACAATTGAGAAATTCCAAAATAGCAATCATACTGATTACTTTTGCAATTTGATATTGTACTAACTAGTTTCATATCGCACAAAGTTGTGGCTTGCTTAGCATATAATCTTTGACTGATTTCATGCTACATACTAAATGAAGAACACATCACATGACTTACTGTGATTTATGAACCCAGTTACCAGGGAGCGTCTATCCTTTTTTATTTTAGTACAGCAAGCCTCTGCTAGAAAAAGACATTAGAAGTTCTGCCTCCTTTACATAAGCCTTTCAAAATGCCTTCACTTCATTTTTAGAATCTACTAGAGAAGCATAAGCAAAAAGCACCAGCTTAGCACATGTATATATGAATAAAAGCCAGTGGTTTCAACACAACAGACATGTGCCTCATTTGTGAATTTCAGTCAGCACACACATCCAATGAGCACAATAACACATCAGCATTAAACCTTTGTTTTCCTGAAACAAAAAAAAACCAGCTTCTTGCTCCAGGTAGAACTGTTAAAAACCTGATCTCTAAATACAGGAAGTCCTCAACTTACGACTTCAATTGAGCCCAACATTTTTGTTGCTAAGCGAAATATTTTTAAGTGAATTTTGTATGACTTTTCTTCCCACAGATGTTAAGTGAATCACTGAAGTTGTTAAGTTAGTAACATGGTTGTTAAATGAATCTGATTGTTGCATTGACTTTGCTTGTCAGAACGTGGCACAAGGTGATCACATGACCTTGGAACAATGCAAAATATGAGTCAGTTGCCAAGCATCTGAATTTTGATCATGTGGCCATGGGGATGCTGCAGTGGTCATAACTGTGAAAAATAAGTTACTTTTTTCAGTGCCGTTATAACTTTGAACCAGAGGTGGTATTCATCAGGTTCTGACCAGTTCTGGAGAACCAATAGTGGAAATTTTGAGTAGTTCAGAGAATCGGCAAATACCACTTCTGAATGGAGGTTTTACAGTATCCTTCCCCTGCCATGCCCACCAAGCCATGCCCACAGAACTGGTAGTAAAAAATTTTGAATCCCACCACTGCTTTGAACAGTCATTAAACAAACTGTTGCAGACTACAATATGTATTTTGAGATGAAGAATAGAACTAAAGTACTTAAACATAAGATTTATATAGCATGGTTCTAAGCATTGGATGCATTTAATGGATACCCATCCATTATGGGTGGCTGGATGAATTTCAATGAGCCAGATGTGGCAGGTCCCATCCTCCCCCAATTTATCTTAATCATAACCCTGAATAGAAACCCTTGAGATTGAGAGGCTAGATTTATATATTGTGCTAAGACTAAGTCCAATTAATAGGTTATCCCAAAGGAATTCCGCTACATAGTTTACACAATATTGCACACCACTATATGATTGGGTGTTTTTTTTTAAATTTTATTGGTTTTTAAAAACAAACATAAACAAACAAAACATAAAAACATCAAGCTATCTTCCATAGGTGTACATACAGTGTGCCGGTTAGTTTACAAATTGTTTTGTGCTTCCATTTCGTAGTCTTCAATTACAATTACATTACATATAATCTCATATTTTCAATCAAAAATTAAATACCTTAGTATCATTATTAATCAATCATTTGACTATACTTTTATTCATTCATGTTTTACAAGATAACCACAATTTACTTAGTTTATTTTATAACAGTTCATATTTTCATCCCAAATCTATCCTAAAATCATTTTGTAGATATAATAAGAAAGAAGTACATCTTTATATGTTTATTATTTTCTAAAAGTCTACATATTTCATTACTGTACTTTATTGTCTAACCATTGATAGAAAAGATCCCAAATTTTATAAAATTGTTTATCCTGTTGTTCTCTAATTTCAAATGTCAATCTACTCATTTCAGCACATTCCAATATTTTCTTAATGATTTCCTCCTATGATGGTATTTTCTCATTTTTCCAGTTTTTAGCAAATACAATCCTAGCCGCTGTTAATACATTTACAATCAGGTATTTCAAGTCTTTACTATATATTTCAGGTAAAATTCCCAATAAAAATATCTCTGGTTTCAAGTCTATATATTTTTTTGTCATTTTTTCCAACCACATGTGGATTTTAGTCCAGTATTTTTTAGCATCCGCACAAGTCCACCACATATGGTAATATGAGCCAGGTGTCTGATGACATTTCCAACATTTTTCGGATTTATTCTTGAACATTCTTGCTATTCTTGTCGGGGGGAAATGCCACCTGTAAAACATCTTATACAAATTTTCTTTATATGCTGTTGACATTGTCATTTTATAATTTTGTGACCACAATTTTTGCCATTTCTCTAAATCAATCCCATATCCAAAATTCTTCCCCCAAGCAATCATGGTTTCTTTAGCTTGTTCTTCTTCTAGTTTAATTTCTAATAAATATCCATACAATGTTTTAATCACCTTTGCATCAGTACCTGTCAAAAGTCAGTCAGTTTATCATAGAAACCTTCTGTTTTAGAATCTTTATCATACCTTGAATGTATTTGTGCATATGAAAACCAGTTCATCTTTATACCTTGTTCCTCTAGTTTTTGCATAGATTTAAGTTCACCCTTTTCATTCAATATTTCACCATATCTAACTGTTTGTTCCTTTTTGTATATTATAGGATACGAAAATGCTTCAATAGTCGATAACCAATCTGGAATTTTCAAATAACATTGTCTTTTAATCTTTTCCCAGTTTAACCACAGAGACTCCCATATATAATGTCTTCTAAAATACCCTTGTGTTTTAGTTCCTTTGTACCATAAAAAAGCATGCCACCTCAACAACAAATCATGTCCTTCTAATGTCAACAATCTAGTATTTCTTAGTGTTATCCATTCCTTAACCCACATCAGATTTGTAGCTTGGTAGTACAACTCCCAATTAGGCAAACCAAATCCTCCTCTAATTCTAGCATCTTGCAAAAGTTTTAACTTTATTCTCGCTTTCTTACCTTGCCATATATATTTCAACACAATTTTATTTAAATCTTCAAAGTAGTCTTTTCCAAGCCTAATTGGAATTGTTTGAAACAAATATAAAATTCTGGGTAATATATTCATCTTGATTGTTGAAATTCTATTAGTGACAGTTGTAAGTTTTCCCATTTCGCCAAATCTAGCGCTATCTGCTGTTTAAGTTTAATATAATTATTCTCTTTTAATATACTACATCTTGCTGTCAAATATATCCCCAAGTGCTTGATCTTATTCGTGACCTGAATTTTCAATAGGTCTGCCAGTTCTTCCTTTTGTCTTAATAAAGCCAAAAACCCAAATAGTTATTACAAAAAAAAAAAGATTAAAAAAAAATACAATAAAGCTGGTGAGGAGGGATAACACAACTTAGGAAAAGTAAAAAGGGCACACTGCACTTTGTTTAATTATCCAAGGCTCTTATTATAACTCTCTTCTCCAAAAACTTATCACCATTTTTCCCCCTACGTTTCAACACCAGACTCCAGCTATTGATAGAAACCCAGAAGAGCACCTGCAATAATACTCTCCCATGCTCTTCCCTCTATCT